TGTACATTTTAGAGAGAAGCAGTGTGCAGGTCACATTTTAAAGATTGGAATATTATCCATATACATTGAAAATAAATAAGGAGTACAAACTCCACTTAGAAAATAATGACCGATGATAAATTCATTCCTTCTCTGCACCTTTTTAGAAATAATTCCTTTGAAATTCAATATGAAGATAATAACTGGTTATATTTGTAGTAAGAGAGTCAGTTTGGTATAGTGGTTAAAAGCACCAAGCTAGAAGCTAGGAGACTGAATTCTCAGGCATGAAACAATTGAGATGATTTTAGGTCAGTCACTTTCAGTTTAGAAGGAAGGAAAGCCACTTCTAGAAATGTTGCTAAGAAAACTGTAAGGACTTATCTATGCAATAAGAATGATTTGAAAGCATGGGCCCACAAGCACGTACACAAACAGTCACACATACAGAGAGACACAGGGAGACACAGGGAGAGAAAGGGAGGGAAGGAGGGAGAGGGAAAGAGAGGGAGGGAGGGAGGGAGGGAGGGAGGGAGGGAGGGAGGGAGAGAGAGAATGAATATCATAATAAAAGATTTGGGGACTGAGGTTTCCCTTTCTTTCAAAATTCTATCAGGGCATGGGTCACACCTTGCTTTGCATGGCATTTTGATAGCAAGACCATGATCCATTTGGGGATTTAATTTCCATTTTAAGGAGTAAAGTATCTAACCTAAACATCTTCAAGGATTAAGGCACTTGCTTGCCCTTTAAAATCTCTCAAACTTCCTAAAACAAATAACCCATCCCACTTTTACTCTGAAGGTTTCCTGAGGACTGCAAAAGGCATGTTGCGGATCCAGATATAATCTTGTGAGCCACACTTTTTGCACTTTTGATGTAGCAAGTAAATCTCTTAACATGAAAGTGAACATTTCCCCACTATACTTCTTTTTTTTTTTACACAAATCTTAAAGCAATGCTAGAATTTAAAAATGTGAAATCAGAAAAGTACTTTTTAACAGCCAGAACTTCTGATTTAGCTAGTCCTATAAAATTTTGTGTATATAAGGTGTCCTGGAAAGTGTAACCCAACAGTATTTTTGTTTCAGGTTCCCTCCTCGCTCTCTTTTCTTTTTTTGCAAAATATAGAACCTGAGCATTTAATCACAGATTTTAATCACGATGGCACAGTGGTTAGAGTGCAGTACTGCAGGCTACTTCTGCTGACTGCCGGCTGCCTGCAATTTGGCAGTTCAAATCTCACCAGGCTCAAGGTTGAGTCAACCATCCAACATCCACCAGGTGGGTAAAATGAGTACTCAAATTGTTGGGGGCAATATGCTGACTCTGTAAACTGCTTAGAGAGGGTTGTAAAGCACTATAAAGTGGTATATAAGTCTAAGTGCTATTGTTAAGTGCTATCTACAGTATATTGTCTAATCTGATTTAACCCTGAAGTCCTGTAACACAGGGATTGAAGGGAAAGCAAACAAAGGGATAAATTGGAGCAAAATATATAAATATAGAGTTTAAAAGAATGATAAGCAATCCGGAAGAGAAAAGAAACCAGGCAAGATGGAACTGTTCACAAATCAGAAAGGAAGGAGAATTTAGAAACTTTGCAGAGATGACAGCCAAAAAACCATCTATGCTGTGAAGGAAAAGAGAGAGGCAAAAACATCTGGAGGGATAGAGAAACTATGAAAATGATGACTAGGATCCACTTTTTTCTAAGAGGCAGGACGATGTCAATTGATCACAGGAAGAAGAGTAGGCATGTTCAGCTTTCTTTCTCTTGAGTGGTGACACTGTTTGCTTTTGTTCTTAAAATTAAAATAGTGTCTGAACATTCATGTGCACACCCAAAAGTCCCTTCTACTGGGATTGCATTGAACTAAAGACCACTGGAAACGTAATGCATATGTGCTTCTTTTTTAGAATAAACTTTTTATTTGTACTTTCGGGACCCTGGATTCTATAAAAGAGGGCCACAAGGACTGTAGCTTCTGGCCCACTATGATATTTTGACTTGACAATCATAACGGGACAATCAAGGCCAAAGAGCAAAAAATATCTTTGTGCTTGTCCATGATAATTTCCTATAATTTGATTTAAACTAATTATCTTAATCTCCTCTTATAGTATTATGGCAACCTATTATTTTTTATGAGTACAGATTGTCATGAAACCTTAGCACATGAAACAATCTTAAAATGGAGCTGCATTAGCATTAATACCTTTTAAATAGCATTCTCTGAAGTGCGTATCAGTATGTTGAATAATAATAATAATAATAATAATAATAATAATAATAATAATAATAAATAATTTTATTTCTATACCGCTCTTCTCCCGAAGGACTCAGGGCGGTGTACAGCCTATTTAAAAACAGAATAAACATCAATTTAAAATAATTTAAAAGTATTAAATAAATTTGGCTTAATTTAAAACCCCAAAAATTTAAAACATCCAATTTAAAATTATGTTGCTAACCCAGCCTGGCGGAACAATAGGGTCTTGAGTGAATAATAGGTCCTAATCCATTTAAAATTCATATCCTTCAAGGAGGACAGGAAAAACCTTACAATGTCTATCAATGAACCCTTTAATCAGTAGTACTCATACCATGAAACATGAGTCAGTCTTAGCAGTAAATACCAGGATAATGATGAACTACAGAAATCGTAGCAGAAATTAAGTCCCCTTTAACCTACTTATTGTTGGTCAGGGCAATTAAAGATGAAGGGAAGGTCTAGTTGTCCAACTTTCTGAAATACCTTTACGGACAATCAGAGAATCCATTTTGGTATATTTGTAAGTGAGTTGTATGTTGACACAATTAACATGGAGCGCTGACATATATACTATTCCCAAAATCCTTTCTCAAGGACAATTTTAAGGACCATACCAACCATTTCCTTTAATAGTGCTCCTTGAAAGTCATGTGGGTTTTGCTTCATAAAAGACTTCCTATCCATAGAGACACCTAGAAATTGCCACTGAATTCTTATTTGACTTAAATCTTGCTTGAAACATGCTGTGACCCTGCCTTCCACTTTTTATTGGCTTTCAGCTTAGATCTCATGAGTCAGGACCTAGAAACAGACAGCATTATCAGCCACAATGTCTGTCCTATGGCTAGCTAATTTATATAGTGATTGAATTAGAACCTGTTCCCGTTCAATGAAATCAGTGTTATGAATATTTGGTTAACAGGGAACAGTGAAAAAGAAAGAAATGGCCCTTGAATAAGTAGATTTTTCACTGGACTGAAGTTATGGCTCTCAGTTTTCTCAGAAGAACTGTTTTCTTCAGCCTACTATTTAATGAGAAACGGGAAGGTGGGGGGGGTGTTGTTCACTTTTAAACTGCTGTACAGAGATTTATAAAATTGGAGGAGAGGGGATATTTTTATTTGTCTTTTTTTTTCTTACACAGCTCCTGTGCCTTAAAGATAATACTTCACATGAGAAGATTCAACAGTTTCATTCTTTTTCCTGAAGAAAGATAATACTATTTTTAAGTAGACAATAAGTTTCTTGCAGAAAAAAATGTGAATCTTGGGAGTTGTATTAGTTAAAAATATAAAAGCCTCCTGCAGGTCAAGTTTGAGTCCTAAGTCGACATGGCAAAAATAGGGGACTTCTTTGCACTATTTTCAATATTGCTTCCTGGGGACCTTCTATCCAAATCCTAGCCTGCTTTAATCCTGCTCTTCTTTTCAACTACAGCTCCAAGCCAACAGAACCAATGCAGAGAGAAGCAATATTTCAGCAGGTGGTAGAGTATCACTAGTTCTATTCCTGTTCTAAACCATTCTTCTCTATGCTGAGAAGTGCCTGCTTCTTTCTTTCACATTATGTGAAAAATTATGTTTTTATGAAAGTTGTTTTGGCTACCCTATTTACTCCTACATAGGGTAGAGCTACCTGCCAGTGACAATCCCAACAAGCCAAGGTGGGTTTCAGCAGGTTCTGACCAGTTCTAGAGAACCAGTAGCGGAAATTTTGAGTAAATTGGAGAACTGGTAGTAAAAATTCTGACTGTCCCCACCCCCATCTATTGTCTGCCTCCCAAGTTCCAGCTGATCGGTAGGAAATGGGGATGTTGCAGTATCCTTCCCCTGGAGTGGGGTGGGAATGGAGATTTTACAGTATCCTTCCCCTGCCACACCCACTAAGCCACACCCACAGAACCGGTAGTAAAAAATTTTGAAACCCACCACTGCAACAGGCCTCTACTGTACCAGCATTTATTCAAAATGTTGTTGTGAAGAAGATATAGTCTGAAATTTTCTAAAGGCAGGAAATGCCTTAACCTGGAATTTTAAAATGGGATAGCAGGGGAGGGAGAATAGCTTGACCTCCTTCTGTTTCTTAAAACATGTGTAAGAAAAGGAAATCATCCTCATGGAAGGGCCATATTAGTTTATGGTGGTCAAAAATCAAGAAGAGTCTGGTAGCATGTTTTCAGAATAGCAAAATTTATTTAAAAAACATAAACTTTAACTTATTTCTTAGTCTGAAAACATGCTACCAGACATGTCTTGATTTTTGGGAAATTTTGAAAATAAAAATTAATAAACAAGAAATTAGATATTCAATAAACAACATGGGCAACATGAAAAAGTTATGAAAATAGTTGACATGAAATCCATTTGTTCTCTAGTTACTCTGGCTTGTAGGAGTTGATTTAAAAGAAAACATGTAAAACATCACTGCTTATCCAAAGAAGTCATTCTTATACAGGCTGTGTTGAGGGCAGAAAAAATAACTTCTGTTGGGACACCCAAAACATAGAATTAAATTTCACTGAAGTCAGAGGCTCTCCCAAATTTATTTCCTTAGTGAAAATAATAACTGTACTTTAAAATTATGGCTTTAAATTCAAATAGGTGACTATTTGTGCAATCACCAGGAATCAAACATAGTCAAGCACCTAATCCCTGTTCCGTTTAGTGACAACCATAAAACCAATGCCACTAAGTTATAAAAGTCATGTCCTTCCTAAATGAATAATAATACTTGGGTCATACATACTTCTCCATATGGAGTACATGAAGTTTCGGGTTGGGTAAGTCCACAGGTGGAGGAGGCCTTCAAATAATGGATTCTTCCTACAAGAAGATCCTGCACAGGTGGGTAGCAGGCCCCATGCAGACAGGTTCTTTGTGCAACCAGGAGGTGTGCAGAAGCTAGAAAGAAATTCAGAATCGACCTTAACAATAGCATTCATTAAGAGAAAAGAGGATTGAAACGCTGCCCATTTTTGTGGCAAGTGAAGCTTCTATATTGAGCAGCTTCAAAAAAAAAAAGCAATGCAAAATAACATAATAGATTTCAAGTTAAGTGACTGTCTGCAGAATTAAGGAACTTCTGCTTTGAATTTCACTTCTACAATAAACTAGCTATTAAATGGCCATACGAAAGTCATTAAGATCATAATCCTCTGTGTATATCAGACTAGAATTAAGGAACTTCTGCTTTGAATTTCACTTCTACAATAAACTAGCTATTAAATGGCCATACGAAAGTCATTAAGATCATAATCCTCTGTGTATATCAGACTAGAAGTAAGAACCCTGTGGAGCTTCCTACTGTTAGCCTCAACTTGCTAAATTGTAATGTGTGGCTAATTCTATGGCTTTACCTTATAGCGCTGTCATAAAGATTAGAGAAACCATATATGCTAAACAATGCAACAGTTGTAAAAGCAATAAAGACCTGCTAAATATTATTCACCCCTCCAACAAATGACTTAATTTTCTCCTATTACAGACACCAGCAACATGCAATGTTACTTCACTAATTCCCAAATGCCCTTTTCAGAAAATCGTGCAAAAAACACATAGACCTAGAAAACATTTTAAAAAATCATTTGAATCCGTGAACTAGAACTATTCTTTAACAAAACATTCTTTATTATGACAATATACATATTTGCTAAAAACATATGGCATGCAGCCAGGTTACTTGTGTGATCACAGCTCCCTTAAGAAATATACCAGTCCCACTATATTGGATAAGGTGGGTTCACTCCAGGTCCCTACTCTTAAATGTTGTCATCTAGTGGAACCTAGGAAGCCAACCATTTCTGTAGCTGATCAATCATCTAAAATAGCTTCTTCCTGATATGCGGAGGATCCCTACACTCCTTACAGTCTGGAAGGCCCTGAAGACCTGGCTTTTGTCTCAGGTGCTGCACTAGGAGGGAAGAGTGGCCCTGTGATGGGGTTGTTCTTGGTGGTTTGAAAGGTTTTTTTATCATTATTTTTTTTTAATTTGCTCAGTTAATATTCAGTTCACTGAACTAATTTGTTCAGTTTCAGCCCAAAGACAACATAATGAAATCCAACTGAATTGATATTTTTTTTATTTGCTTGTACGCAATGGACAGATCTTGCCAAACTAAACTTCCCTTCTAACCTACTAGATATACCCTGAGAGATTCTAGGGTGTGGCTATCCTGAATCTTTTCTTCCCTTCCCTTCCCTCCATCCATCTCAGGACTGTGAAGTCTCTTAATTTAAACTTCTCTTTGGAATGCACTATTTCTCCCTTGGGAAACCATGGTGCTCATGGTCAGGATCTCTCTCTCTCTCTCTCTCTCTCTCTCTCTCTCTCTCTCTCACACACACACACACACACACACACACACACACACACACACACTCTCACACACACACTCCTTCTCCAGATGCACATTCCATCACACCTTGAAATAATCTGCTTCTTCCAGTGTTCTCTATGCTCTCCACAAAGGAAAAGTTAAATATAGGATAATTATTCAGTATAAACAGATCCAAAGCAAGTCTCTTGAGGTCAACCAGCATTAATAGGAGATATTAACTATTGCCTGGATCTTCTTTATCATCCATCTAATATTTTTCACTTACATACATAGAAAACACTTACCCAGAAGAAGGAATATCCACATAATGATGGTGTTCACAACATTCAAGAGTTACCTTAAATGGACATAAAACATATTCAATGACAAAAGTGATAACATGGATATGGCAAATTATCAGCCCTTCTTTAGTATTGCTTGTACTGTTGTTGTTGTTGTATATAATTACAAACAGTCCCAAGAAGAGAAAGTATTGATCAAAGGGATTACAGGTAGACCTTAACGTGCGACTGGCCAAAGTTACAACAGATCCAAGAAAAGGGACTTGCAACCTGGATTCAAAATTCTGGCAATCGTGTTTCCCCACCCCCACACTCTGGGATTAGGTGACTTGCATGTTGAGCACTTGGCAATCAGAACAGTAGAGATGAACTACCAAATCTAAACAGGAAAAAACCAAGCATACACACAATAAAGCCATGGTCACTACTTTCAACTCTGCTCCTCAGATCCTATGAACAGTAATATGATTCATTGTAAGATCAATAAACAGGTGCAGAGGCAGCTGATCATTGGTGAGGACCCCAAGAGTATAAGCAGAACAACAATCTGGGAGCCCTGTTAAAAATAAATGGGAAGAAATAAAAAAAAATGGGAAAGACATGCAGTGGAAACAAATATGCTCTGTCTTGTTCATATAGAAGATGAAATATGCTATACTGAGGCATTCTATCATGGTTGGCCAAGAATTTTCATCACGACTAATAGACATAAATATCATTGGCATAACAGTGACACTGAAAACCCTGATCAATTCTGCAATGATTTTTTACTAACAGCACAGATGTCAAGACAAAGATAAAAATATAGCTAGGCATAAATGTCCTATAATCCATTGATATAAACTGGTCATTGACTGATCTATGGCCCAGTGAAAAAAATCACATGCTATCCTGGATGATATTTTTATGTACATCTCATACAAAACCAGGCCAGAAATACACACAGTCTAGTCCAGACAGTTGCCAGGAATCAACACTGAAACAAAGGCATAAAAAATAAAAAAATAACAACCTTTCAGTCTTCCAGGTCAAAGAGAAAAAAAAAAAAACAATTCTAGAACATTATATTCATATGTGTCCTCTATCTTTTACCATTTTTTCTCCATTAACCTTTTGCTCATTTATTTCAAATCTGGGGGGGGGGGATTCTTACAAACTTAGCACTTTCTTCAAAGTATTCACCATTTTCAAAGCATTAATCAACTGCAAAGCACTAAGTACTAACCAAGATTTAATCTACCAGTATTCTTTCCAAGGAGCAAACAGTACTAAACTTCTGACTTAGAAAAATCTGATTATTCCGAGATTATTTTTTTTTGAAGCACCTAGTATAAGAACAAGATCAAGCAGATCACATTGAAATGTAACTTTCTAAAGCGAGCAGGAAGCTTTCTAAAACTGTGCTTTCTTAAATGTGCTTTAATTCCTACTTTTTAGTTCTTTTAAAAAATATCTGTTTCACTCTGGGTAACGGCATCTCCTTATCTTTCCCAAAAGCTGCAAGACTTTTAAGATGAATGATTGCAAACCAATGAAACCAATGAATTTTGTTACCAAATCCTTATAACCATGAATCAGTAGCCTTCTAGATGTTCATCAATAAACTCCCAGCTAAGGTTCAGAAATACTTTACCCCAATGCTTGCTAGAAGGGATGATTTACAGTTACCAACATTGTGCTACATAAAACATACCTGCACTATCCTGTCTTTTTCCTTCTCTTTTGTGCACGGGTCGACTGGAATCCGTTGCCTTGCTTCTTTAACTGTAGTCTTTCATTCTCCGTTTTAAACACCTCTTACCTGGGGATGTAAATTCCTGTGGGTGTAGTAATAATGATATAAGGAGTGATTCAAGGACCTTTTCAGACAGACACACCCATGTACTGTAAAATTCATTATAGAGCCTAGACAATGAACTTGTGTTAGCTCACTGCAATGTGAAAGAGGAGATCTTTGTGATTATACATTCAGGAAAACCCATTTCAATCACTTTGAAAACACTGTGAGAGCAGTTTTGATATTTTTTCATTGCATATAGCAGAGAAAGCCAATAGCCAAAACAAATCTTTTCACTGAGTGAAATGGGTAAGCAAAGGAAACAGAAAGAAATGGAAAAACAGAATGTGATCTTTTCATAGAGGGATATACTCAAGGAAAGCAATTCATAACCTGGGCACCTTTCAGATACCCAGGAATAAAAACATACATTTATACAATACATTTGTATATATTTATATATTAGTAGAATTCCAATTCATATGACCAGTTTTCAAACAAAAGAAGATATGATCAAATAAAATAAAATGCAGCCATTACACTGCTACTTCATGCATATTACATAGCTTAATCATATACAGTAGAACCTCTGGTCACAAACTCTTCTGACCACGACCAAATTGGGTTCCGACCAAAAAATTCACAATTTTTTTTCCCCGTGACCGATTTTCCCTTCCAAACCTTTTGTTTTTGTAAGCGCCAAATTTCCAAAATTAGGTTCGAGTCACGACCAAATTGGGTTGCAACCAAAGTTATGGAACAAATTATGGTCGTGACCAGAGGTTCTACTGTACATCCTTTAGGATAGGAACTAGATAGGAACTATAGATACACCAATAGCTATAAGTATAGACATAAATAATACCTCCCATACCAAAGTTTGCATATCTATGGCTTTCACAGATATCACAACTGATAAGAGAAATTACTGGACAGATGAGCACACTATTTGCAGAAAATAAAAATAACAAGCTTTAATCAAATTGGTGTCTTCCCGCTGAACTTGAAATAACTTCCACATTCATTAAACACCATGGACCTTTATGGGAACTGGTCCAAACAGCAATCAAAGTAGAAGTCCTATATTTTTTTAAGAGCATTGAGTTGCAGAACTAGACTAATCAGCTAATGTCTATTTTGAACAGCATCAGCAATGGGCACTAGCTTCAAAATGGTGAGTCCAAAGGAATGGAAATGTAGTTTGGATTCTCAGGAGTGAGGCATAGATGGCAATGCCATGAGCACGTTTTTGCTTGCATTGAACCTCCTACTATGCTGCTGACTATAGAACTATAACTATAACTATAACTAACTATAACTATAATGAGGACCCAGATTGTTGGGGGCAATATGCTGACTCTATAAAACCTCTTAGAGAGGGCTGTAAAGCACTGTGCAGCGGTAAAGCACTGTGCAGCGGTATATAAGTCTAAACGCTATTGCTGTAACAATTGGATTCACACTACACACTAAGAGTCCTAATATGATTTGTTTGGTTTTTTATTTATTATGTTGCAATCCTTGGTTAAACAAATGATGGTTTAGTACAAGTGAACCTCACATTTATTAAGATTGTAATTTTTAAAATGAAAAATAAGATATATACCTTAGTTATTTGAAAAAAAAAATCACAAAATCAGTTTGTGTCCTTAGGCGTATAAAATCTGCAGGATTATCTGGGGCTTTTCTCCATTCTTGGGTGTGTCAAGAATGCTTGATAAATGGGTAGAGATCCTGGGTGTGCCTGCTTTTGTACTGCTTGCTCAGACTCCAATTACTCATGCTTTGATGCCAACTTTTGCTCTGTGGAATCTTGACTCAACAAATCTCTTTGCAGACAACAGCTCTCAGCATGCCGAAAGAAGATTAGCAGAACTAGCAAAAGACAAAATAATGAGGACAACATCCCCAAAAAAGCATTACATTAAAAAATAATTCCACAAAGGAATAAATCCAAATAGTATAGCCAAATATCAGTAGCAAAGAAATTTTATTTTCCTCTTTCTAAATTGTCGTACAGGATACAAAACTATAGGAAGGAAAGAGTAACTAGACAGACTATTTAAATATAGAAGTATATCTGTGATTGATCACTGAACATCTCTCATTCAGTCTACCATCTCATGCATCTATATTAATCAGCTAAAATACAGTCTATCACTACTTTGAGCCCACTTGAGCTAAAGTGCTATAACGTCCAGCTAGCAAATAAGAAATAGTGAGAATTGTAATACTACAATCCACCTTAAGAGCACTGAGGTTCAGGGCTACATCAGAGGTGAGTTTCACTTACATTTGCTACCGATTCGCTCACGCATGGCCAGAGCGTATTTGATGACATCTGGGTGGGTGGGCAGAGCCTCCCGCTGCCATTGTTACTGGTATGCCCGAACTGGGGTGAACCAGTAGCAACCCACCACTGGGCTACATGCAACAGACAAAAGACTTACGTTGCCATCAAATGGTTATTTTTAATGTACTAGAAGAGCAAGTATGTAATTGTATGAATACCTATAGTATTAATGGTACATAGTTAATTATTTTTATTTATAACAGAATATAACAGAATAAAACCATTGAAAGGGACCTTGGAGGTCTTCTAATCCAACCCCTGCTTAAGCAGGAAACCCTGCTTCAGAGAAATGGTTGTCCAATCTCTTCTTTAAAACCTCCAGTATTGCCACACCACAACTTCTGAAGGCAAGCTGTTCTAGGTGGCTTCTTTCCTTGATTAGTTTCCATCCATTGCCTTTTGTTTTGTCTTCTGATGCTTAGCAAAATAGGTTGACCCCTCTCTTCTTTGTGGCAGCCCCTCAAATATTAGAACACAGCTATCAGTCCCTAATCTTTCTTTTCATCTTTATTTCTGCAACCATTCTTCTGTTTTAGTCTTTAGCCCTCTAATCAGTTTTGTTGTTCTTCTCTGCATTTTTTCCAGAGTCTCAACACCATTTTTAAATTGTGGCAGCAAAAACAGGATGCAGCATTCCAAGTGGGGTTTTATCAAGGCATTATAAAATACCATAAAATACCATAAAAAGTACCATAAAGTACCATAAAATGGTACTAACAGTTAACAAGATCTTGATTCTATTCCTCTGTTAATGAAGCCTAGGATTCATTGGCCATTGGCTTTTTTGGTGGTGGCTGCACACTGCTGGCTCATATTTAAATGATTGTCCACTAGGACTACAAAAACTACCTTGGAGTTACTACTATTGAGACAGGTTCCACCTATTTTATATCTGTGAATTTGGTTTTTCTTGTCTAAGTGTAAAACCTTACTTTTCTCACCATTGAATTTCATTTTGTTAGATAGGGTCCAGTGGTCAAGTATGTCAAGATCCATAAGGACCTTGAGCCAATCGCACAGTCACTCATGCCCTGGTTACTTCTCGTTTGGATTACTGCAACTCCCTCTACATGGGGCTGCCCTTGAGGTGCAGCCGGAGACTCCAGCTGGTCCAGAATGCGGCTGCGCGGGTGTTACAGGAGCTCCCCGTTACTCCCGGGTAACACCTCTCCAATGTGAGCTGCACTGGCTACCAGTGGTCCTCCGGATCTGCTTCAAGGTGCTGGTACTTACCTTTAAAGCCCTACATAGCTTAGGTCAGGGGTATTTGCAGGACCATCTCCTACCCGCCTCCCATCGTCCTGTCTGCTCTCACAGGGCTGCCCTCCTCAGGGTACTGTCGGCCAGACAATGTCGACTGGCGGCGTCCAGGGGTAGAGCATTCTCTGTAGGCGCCCCTGTCCTCTGGAACGAGTTACCCACCGAGCTTTGGACGGCACCTGATCTCCGCTCCTTCCGTCGGGACTTAAAGACTTGGCTGTTCCAACAAATGAGTTGACCCTGATCCTTGGGTTTTATTATTTTGATTGTTGTTGTTTTAATCTGGGTTTTAATCACCTTACTTTTTATTATTGTATGTTTTTAACTTGTGTTTGCCGCCCTGAGTCCTTAGGGAGAAGGGCGGCATATAAATTTTTGGTAAATAAATAAATAAATCTTCTGGGGTGGAGGTTATTCCTGCCAGCTTGGTGTCATCTGCAAATTTGATGAGTTCCCCTTCTATACCCTCATCTAAATTGTTTTATGTACTGGGCCTAAAACAAAACCTTGGGGTACCCCACTGCTTACTTCCCTCCGTGTAGCTGTAGTTCCATTAATGATTATACATTAAGTATGGTTTGTCATCCAATTATGAATTCATCTAATTGTGATGCTATCACACATTTTTCCAACTTACTAAGAAGTAGATTATGATATACTTTGTCAAATTCCTTATTGAAATCCAAGTATACTATGTCCACAGCTAAGTCACTTTGTCGAAGAATGAAATAAGATTTATTTGGGATGATCTGTTTTTGACAAACCCATGTTGGCTGCTGGTTATAACTTTGCTTTCTTCTAGATGTTCACAGATCTATTGGTTGCTTATCTTTTCCAGGATCTTCCTAGAAATTGATGTCAGGCTGATTGGTCTGTAGTTTCCTGGATCCTTTTTTCTCCCCCCCCCCCCCTTTTTTTTTTTTTTTGGAAGATCGGGACCACATCAGCTCTTTTCCAGGCCTCTGGTAGTTCTCCAGTACACCAGGATCTTTGAAAGATATGGTTCAATGATTCCGAGATCACATCTGCCAGTTCCTTCAGAACTCTGGGATGTAATCCATCTGGTCCTTGTTTAAATTTAAATTATATCAAATTAATTAAATTAAACTTGATTTAAATTAAATGTGTTATTAAATTTGTAAATTAAATTTGTTCTGGCTCCGATCAACTTTTGTTGTTGTTGTTGTTGTTGTTGTTCTGGTCTATTGCTGGTAACTTTGCAGACCATTTAAAGACCTAATCTGCTAACAATTCCAAAATATATCCCTGCTCCAGTGCTGAAATTCAAATTTTTTTACTACTTGTTCTGTGGGCGTGGCTTGGTAGGCATGGTGTGGCTTGGTGTGCGTGGCTTGATTGGTGTGGCAGGGGAAGGATACTGCAAAATCTCCATTCCTACCCCACTCCAGGGGAAGGATACTGCAAAATCCCCATTCCCTCCCCACTCATGGGGCCAGCCAGAGGTGGTATTTGCCGGTTCTCCAAACTACTCAAAATTTCCACTACTGGTTCTCCAGAACGTGTCAGAACCTGCTGGATTTCACCCCTGCCCTGCTCTATTTGAATATGGGGGAGGGGAAGCATAGTCTTTACTTTTCCTTGTAAGAGCAGAACCAAGTAATCGTTGGGACCAAAAAGACAAGAAAGATGACAGGAAAAATGTATGTAATCTGTACAGATAAGGATTGGATTTGATGGGTGGATTAAAATGCCAAATCAAGTCTAAACCTCTGGCTGACTTGTGACCAACCATAATAAGGCCCTATAGTCTCCTGGAATGGGAATCATGGGCTTGAAAGAGTTTGCACCAAATGCTTCTAAAGTGGAGGTAGACTTCTTGGAATAATACAAAGACTGCTCATTCTGCATCTCAAAAACGGAAAAGTTGGTTACAATGTGTTCCTGCATGATGGGAAATGAATTTAAGACTAATTGGAAGAACATCCCAAAGCATAGCTCTGATTTAATTTACACGTGGACTCCCAATATTCTTTCACCTTGGACCATCACTGTTGATTCGCAGGTTGTTTTGTTGGACTTGCAGAGTTTCAAATTTACTGTTAGTTTCATTTCCAAGAAGTTCAAATGGTTACTGTGAAGATTGTCTTGAAAAGAATACACAAGCCATCTCCATGCTTTACTGTTCTTGAATTGATTGGGAACTGGGCCGATGGACAGAAAGGTTTTGTTAGTTTTTGCTAAATTTAATGGTGGAATAAAGAAAAGCTGAGAGGGCCCTTGGCCGTATCCTTTTGCCTTCAAATACCTACAACATTTTACATTCAAGACAGACTAAAGAAGATTTTCTGGTTCCTGCCACCCCTCCACCCAAAATCTGAACCAAAATATGTGTTTTGGAGTTTTCTCTCTCTTTCTCTCTTTTAACTATTATTTAATTATTATAATACCAGAAGAGTATTGATAGTATTTAGAAACTGAGTGAAACTTCCAAAGTTGAAAAAAAGTACACATACAAGTCTACAGGATTTAATTGAAACTTAACCATAAAACAATTACAATTTCCCTGACTTGTAAAAGGGTGTTGACTTGAAATACATTGAAAAAATTGCAATGGCAATCAGTTCTTTGTATGGTAAATTTCCTTTTAAAATGTGCTTGCATCTGATGTCAGAACACAAACAAAAAGCCACTGCCACGTCACAGTGCATATTTCATCATTTGTGAATTATCCGTTTGTATTGGGTGCTTATGTTCTAAAAGCATTTTTGCTTTTAAACTAGCCCCAATCTTGCAAATGCCAGGACAAAAATTACAAAATAAATTCTTGTCTACTCATTCTGCATTGTCACTCTATCCATTGTAGGACCCTTAGCACTTCTGGTATGCAACATTGCTGTGCATTCTTAGCTTCCTAATATCATTCTTGCTGCTGTATCTTATCTGTGTTGAAAAATATAATCCTCTTTCCCAGACAGCTGACCTCAGTCTGGCCTATTGCAGGTCAGCCGACCAAGGTGTAGAAATATGAGTCTACTCATTAGGGTTATTACTGCATTGCTTAAGTCAGACTAGAAGGGAGGAGCATTCTGAGCTCATCACTATGGTGGCTTATTTTTTAACTTAGCAAACAGAACTGTTTCCTGTTTGGAATTATTGACTTAATATTCAATTTTACAGTTGCATGTAGCTATTTGAATCCAAGCACCTTCTGCCTAGACAGCATTTCTTTTAATGAAAAAAAAAATGCCCAAATGTAAAAACGATCCAAGGCTGGAGAATAGAAAGGAAATATAGCTCTGAG